AATTAACGCGAAAACCTTACCTTAACCCCCCCAAACCTAACCCTTAACCTAACCCTAAACCTAACCCTAAGCCTAACCCTAAGCCTAACCCTAAACCTAACCCTAACGTTTAACCTAACCCTAAACCTAACCCTAACCCTTAACCTAACCCTAACCTTAACCCTTACGTGAATCGGCTTGCTTTAATTTTATTTTTATTTTATTTATTTTTAATTTTATTTGTCGGGCTGCTGATGACGTCACGTACGCGCTTTGATCGGGCGCGCTTTAGTGGACCGCGGTTTTGACGGGTCACGTTCCCGCCCCCCCTAGCCCCCATGAACTCTCTGAAAACCTCCTACAAGCTATGCATGGCCATTTTGGTGGAGAGGCGAGGTTTCACGAGGCAAAAAAATGCTGTATTTAGTGTATAAGACGCACCCAGATTTTCACCCTCTTTTTTGAGGGAAAAAGGTGCGTATTATACTCCAAAAAATACAGTATATATTTACTCACTCACTTACACTCATTTACTGTTCTGTCAAAAGAATTTAGGCTTCATTTCTAGAAGCCACCCTATAATGTAATCAGTTGGTTTATTGGGAAGATTTTGTTAGGAATACCAAAAGAAAAACAGTAGCCTTGCATGCCACTGATTATCTCCCAGTACATTCAAATAGAACAGACAAGACAAGACGAGAAGCCTCCTTCCCACAAAAATAGCATCCAGAAAGCTGAAGGCCATGTCTGAAGGTCGCATGTTCAATCTGTGTGGGAAACTGTCTTTTGCTATCTCCCCTCATTGCTGCTTTTCTGGCAAAAGCAGGCTGATCTCTACTAATCTCTCTTTCCAATCAGAAAGCCAGCAAGAGCTCCAGTTCTTCTTTTATGCATGCATGCTTTAAACATCACTTGCCTTAAATGAGAGTTTGGTTTTGCTTTCAGGTTGCCTCCAAATGATGATTGTGAAAACAAAGCCGATGAGGAAGAGGACAACAAGCATGCTAATGGCCCATATTGATCCACTCATCAGATCCTTCTTGGCAAGGACAGCCAAGCTACAGAAGCTGACAATAAGAACACCTGAGAACAAGAAACGTTAAGGTGTTGGATGCATTGTTAAAACATGGTGGGTAGGAATACAAAAAAAACAGCTGTAGTTAGCTAAATGAAGAATAATAATACGAACTTTGACATATGCAGATAGACAGCCCAGGATCCATAGCTCCCAACATCCATTTCTCTGAGCCACTGTTTTGCTCATTGAATCCTGCAGAGGAGCGGTCCCCAACCTTTATGGCTTGGCAGCCCAGAGACCGGAGGGAGGGAACTGTCCCATGCAAGTGGTGGGCCAGCTCATGTGTATGTGCCAGCCCGCCACTCATGTGAGTTGGGAAGCGTGCATGTTGCCCCATGGCTTGTGCAAGTTGATCTATCCTCATGATGACGAACCTATGGCACACGTGCCCGAAGTGGCACAGGGAGCCATGTTGCCTGGTGCGCGTGGCGTCATCCGTTGCTCTTCCGGGTTTCTGGCACGAATGCACACACAATGATCAGCTGGCCTTTGCACATGCAGCAGTGCCAAAAACCAGAATAGCTGGTCCTCCATTTTCCGGCATGAGCGATTGGCCCGTGCACAGGAGCGGCAGTAACCGGAAGACTTGCTGCTCGGCGTGCGTGCATGAGCCAGAAACCAAGTTCATTTTCCAGCATGTGCATGCCCCCTGGCCAGCTCCTCTTCCCTGTTGTGGCTTAGACAAGCATGCACGCATGCGCAAAGCACACGCATGCACAAAGTGCTCCCTTTTTGGCACTCGGGTGCCGAAAATGTTCGCCAACACTGATCTATAACCCAGGCGTGCACACTTGCACCGGCCAGCTCCTCACTAGTTCAGTTCTGTTCACTTGGGGGCCCCTGCAGTATAAAAAGGTCCTGCAGCAAAAAACTCATCTACAGGTAATTCTTGCTTAACAACCATTTGTTCAGCAACCCTTTGAAGTTATCAGGGCACTGAACAAATGGTAGTTATGGCTGCTTCTCAAAATTACAGCTATTGCAACACCCCCACAGTCACATGATCAAAATCTGGATACTTGGCAGCCCTCTCTCATTTACAACCACAGGCTGGGCTTCAACTCCCCTCACCCACCTATCTCCCCCTCCTCTCAACCTCTGCCCCTTTGGCTGACCAACCCTCTGCCACCTCCCCCCTAACCTTTGCCTTCTTTCTCCCACTGCTGACAAGGCAGGTGGGGGGAGTTGGAGGCAGGTACAGCAGGGCAGGAGAAAGCATGAGATCCTTACTCAGGGACAGCGTGGCCCTGGCTTAACAGCCACAATCGGAACTACTACTACTGGAATTGCCATCACTAAGTAGTAGAAGTCATATGTTTCACCCAACAGCCATTTTACTTAGTAACGGAAATTCCAGTCCCAATTAGGATTGTTAAGTGGGGACTACCTGAATTAGGATTGTTGTGTATTGCAGTGTTTTTCAACCACTGTGCCGTGGCACACTAGTGTGCCGTGACATAGTGTAAGGTGTGCCGTCGGAAAAGCACGTTATATAAAGTCAATATAGGCCCAGAGTTAAATTTTTTAAACATTTTCTAATGGTGGTGTGCCTCGTGATTTTTTTCATGAAAAAAGTGTGCCTTTGCACAAAAAAGGTTGAAAAACACTGGTGTATTGTATGCTTCTTTAATGGGCTCCCTTCGACTTTTCACTTGCCAATTCCCTGCCTGTTTTTTTCCAGGGGTTTTCTCAGCAGCATCTCTTAATTTCCACAATGGTTTTATTCTGAATTCAGCTAAATCAAAGCACAAACTGCAAAGAGGACATTCTCAGTTCGTCAGCAAACTCACTGACCAATTTTTCAGAGAGGAAACTCAGCAGTCAGAGGTACAATGCTTGAGAATAACACTAGTTTTTTGGAACCAGCTGCTTACCTAAGACACAAGTACAGACATTCACTATGAACCCAGAAAGTTTGGAAGGAACTGTATTTTGGGGGAGGATGAGAACTTTTAAGGATAATTTCTCTTCCTCTTCCGGCAGAAACGCAGTTTGTGATTCACTTGTGCTCACAGATTCATTTATGTATGTCTCCTCTGTAGTACTAGCCATCTGATAGGCCAAGTTAGGTTGCTCAGGTTGGTATCTATAGGAAAAACAAACAAACATAGCATACACATAGTAGTATAGTATTTGAAATTATAAACATGCCACTGGGTTGTTTTATTTGAGTATTACAAGAATATATCAAGAGAGTAGAAAAGTGGAAAAAATAGGGAGAATGTATTGTTGTCAACTGAAACTTGAAGTATTAGATTTCATTGCGTGTATTTCCATGAATCACATAAAATGAAATGCAAATTATAGAACTGCCAAGGCTACATATAGACAGAATGTTAATATTAAATGTGTTATGTTCTTCTTAACAGCTTTATTGCTCTGGTAAATGCCCCACCAAATCTCAAAACTGTATTTCCAGGAATAAGGCTAAAACTGCCGTCTTCTTTAGCGAATCTGATTCTGATAGCTTGATCAAGGTGCTACTCAGGTATTATACACTACTATATTTGTCCTCAAGGAAAAAACGCTCTTGAAAAAATGTGTTACGTTTTATTGCAATCTGCAGTTTGCACTTAAAATTCAACTCTGAAGGGAACAGTGAAAATTGCAGAGAAAAAAATAGAGGCTCATTTTTTAAAAAAAAAAATGGGGATCAACTGTTTATTTATTTATTTTATCTGACATACATCAGGGAGATCTACACTTTATAGACTAGTTCTGACAGCCTAATTGCTAGTTTGTTCGGTTTTGCGTTTGCACACTTATTCACGGTGCATCCCAGGGGGCAAATTAGCTTGCACGTTATCTGACTAGTAACATTTGGGTTGTTGACAAATTTTGGGCTCCTCAATCGATCTTGCCTCATCTCCAGGCAGGTCCAGTGCTGATTCCCTTTCTCCCTGTGCAGCTAGTCTTTCCCACCAGAATGGTACCCATTTATCTACTTGCAATAGTGCTTTCGAATTGCTAGGTGGGCAAGGCAGGAGTTAGAGGTGAGTGACGGAAGCTCACTCTGTCCCGCAGTGATACAGAGCTCAAACCTGCAGAGTGCTGATCATATTTGGTTGGCAGATCCAGCGTCCTTAAGCCATTGTACCCAGTGGTCAGTTTCAATTTACTGTATTTTTAGAACTATAAGATGCACAGGAGTATAAAACACACCATGATTTTGAAGAGGTAAATTTTTAGAAAAAGATTTAGCACTCTGCAGGCCTCCCAAACCCTCTGCACCCCTCATTTTTTTGCACACACACAAAAAAGGGTATGCAGAGCTTTGGGAGGTTTGTAGGGTGCTCCTGAAGGCTGGGGCAAAAACGGCCCATTTTTTGCGCTTTTTTGCCGTCCCCCAGGAACACTTTGCAAGCCTCCCAAACCCTCTGCATGTCCATTTTTGCAAATGGGGCAGGGTTTCGGTAGGCCAAAAATGCTGCATTCAGTGTATAAGACACACCCAGATTTTTACCCTCTTTTTTGAGGGGAAAAAAGGTGTGTCTTATACTCCAAAAATACGGTACTTTACTACTAGTTCACTCACACACACGCACAATGCTTCTGAGCATGCTCAGAAGTGTCCGGGAGGGTGGGCGGAACCTCCCACCACTGCCACTACCAGTTCGCCTGATCCAGGTTAGAAACGCACCTCTGATTGTACAACCACATCTCCTAGATCAATTGCAGTTTTAAACAGGTGAACAGCATCAATTGCTGTTCGTCTGCTTAATTCTGCAGCTTTTTTATGTAGTGGTAGAGTAAGCTTTCTAATAATATTAATATTGGGCTTTTCATCTTCATATAAACACAATGTCCTTTCTCATACTATACAACTGCTTCTCTAACTTAATAAATGAAGGCGTAATAAAGCCCTAACTCTTGAAAACGAAAGCTGAAGGGGAAAAACAGTATTGCTAAGTCTTACGTGAAGCAGTTTGCCAAAATAAACAGAGATAAAAGTCCAAACATCTATTCTGCATGTACATGGAAAGGGTAAGACAACCTCTCCCAAGGGCAGCAGAGCAGATGGGACACAAAGCTCTCTGCACCAATAATGAAGCAGACGGGATCCTGGGAGGGCAGTCGAACGATGCTCCTCAAACGGATTTTCATTGTAGAGAATCATTTGCACTGACTAGCATATCAGATTCTTCCCAATATTTCCTAGGATCTGCTGCTGTTAAGCAAGAGTTCAGTAGGTAATAAAAACTAAAATTAAATACCTTTTGAGAAAGCAAATTTGGGCTATGTTTGAGGCTACTTTGTCAGCAATGCTATCATTTCTTACCTTAGTACCAAGACGCAGGCAGCCACCAAGGAGTAAGCTAGAAGTGTCCCAATAGACATCAGGTCTACAAGATCCTTGAGGTCTAAGAGAAAGGCCATGACAGCTAATGGCGGAGAGAAGGGGGGGGGAAGGAAGAGGGAGAAGCAGAGAGAGAGAAGACACGAATTAAGTGGCAAGATATTTTTTTTAATTTCATTTACAAGCCTGATGAATCATGACAATTTAATCCTTATGCATACTTCTGAGCCAACACGCTCTTCTGTTTCCCAGGAGAGGGTGTAAAATTCGTGAGAAAGGAGCAAGAAAACCAGAGTTCAAAAAAAGGCAAACTGAATGTCAAGTTGTGCGTGACTTATACAGTACCGTGAGTAAGAGTAGTAATATTATTTCTGAATGAGCAAATCTTGCAACCTTAAAAATATTTGCACTTAAAGTGCATTAGAACATGTGACATTAATTTTGATCTGCTTTATAGACGCAAGGTGTTCTCCTTATGGAGTTATGAAATGCATGTGTTTACAATAAAGGTAAAGGTTCCCCTTGCACATATGTGCTAGTCATTCCCCACTCTAGGGGGCGGTACTCATCTCTGTTTCAGCCGAACAGCCAGCACTGTCCAAAGACATCTCCGTGGTCATGTGGCCGGCATGACTAAACGCTGAAGGCGCACGGAACGCTGTTACCTTCCCACCAAAGTGGTTCCTATCTTTCTATTTGTATTTTTTATGTGCTTTCGGATTGCTAGGTTGGCAGAAGCTGGAACAAGTAACAGGAGCTCATTCCGTTACGCGGCGCTAGGGATTTGAACTGCCGACCTTTCTGATCGACATGCTTAGCATCTTAGCCACTGAGCCACCAAGTCCCTTAGGTGTCTTTACAATATGCACACCCATATACATAGAGTGGTGGGGGACCTAGTAATTACTTCAGTCATTCTTAAGAAATCTTTCATACCTGCAACAGCTCCTGAGGTTATTGTAGCTAACATTGGGGTTTTTGTCCTCTCATTGATACGTGACAAAAATCTGAATAGTAATCCATCTTCTGCCATCGCATAAATAACCCGAGGCATTGGAAACATGGATCCAAGCAGGCTAGAAAAAGACAAGAAACATGAAATGTTGACTTATTTCTTGTGTACAAAAATAAAAATTGTTTAACATATTCCAACAACACAGTCCCAAATGTAAGGAATTCATTTTTAAAGGAATAAGTGTCTTTCTCCCAAATTGGGAGAGTAATTATAACAGATAATGGGAAAGTTTTGCTCTTTTGCAGTAGTGAATCCTAGACCTTCACCATAATGAAAATGGGATTTAAAAAATCAGTCAGATACTTATCTTTGCTGCAGAAGAAACTGAAAACTTCTATTTCTTTTTGTATTTTCTCACTGCACTCTTTTCCTTGGTTCTCTTCCATACTAAGCAGTTGTTAAGTGAGTCATGCCTAATTTTACTGAAGTTGTTAAGCGGATCAGCATGGTCAGTAAGTGAATAACTATTGTTAAGTGAATCTAGCTCTCCCCCCCCCCCAATTAACTTTGCTTGTTGTAAGCCAGCTGGGAAAGTTGCAAATGATGATCACATGATGCTGGAATAATGCAATCGTTATAAATACATGCCAGCTGCCAAGTGCCTAAATTTTGATCATGTGACCATGGGGACGCTGCAACAGTTATAAGTGTGAGGACTAGTTGTGGGTCACTTTTGTCAGCGCAGTTGTAACTTTGAATAATCACTAATAAATGGTCACCAGTTGAGAACCACTTATACATAAAAGTGGGCTTTAAAAAAATTATGTACTAGTTTTAATGATAAACTTTGAACAAGTAGCATTGGAGGCAATGTCTGAAGGAAATAGGCATGGGGTTTTGTTTTGTTTTTTATGTTTAGAACCTTTTCTGGCCTATGAGTGAGAGCTAGGATTTGAATTCCTAAAAGTAGGTAGGACAGGAGATAAAGGGATAAGCCAGGCTGGATAAAAGCTAAATCTAATTCCATTTCCTTTAAATAAATGATTATGTTTATTTCTTCTTTTTTCACATTAAAAATGACAAATTAGGGATAAATGGTAGGAGGGCACTGAAGGCCATAACTAAAATTTCCTGGGAGCGCGTAACCAAAGGATTTCATCTCAGAAGAGACACAACTAGTTTCTACCAAGCCCAATTACATTGTGATTATGGACCAAGTACCCTATCAGTCACCACCCCGTCCAGGGGTGAAATGCTACCAGTTTACCTGAACTGGTAGTAAAAAAAAAAAAAACAACCTTTAAAAAAGTTTTTAAAAAAGTTCTGACAATCGCAAGGCACAGCTGATTGTCCCACAGCTGATTGTTGGAACTTTTAAAAAAACTTTTTTAGCATTTTTTTTACTGCCAGTTCTCCCGAACCAGTAGTTAAAAATGTTTTTAAAAAGTAAAAGAAAAGTTCTGACAATCAGCTCTACGACAATCAGCTGTGCCGCGCAATTTATACTCGCTAGAAAGCAGGAAATCCTGCTTTCTAGTGAATCTAAAGTGTGCAGCACAGCTGTCCCCTCCTCGCTGTTCTACTTATCTTTGCAGACTCAGAAAAGGCTTCTTAGGTGCTCATGCACATGAAGCAAACCAGTAGCAGACTTCAGAGCATTTCACCCCTGCCCCCATCTCATATGTATGATTAGAAATTTCCAGAATTCCTAATCAGCATGGTTTCTGGAGACACAGTCTAGGAACTCTGAAAATCTTAAGTTCTATGTATCAGCACCAGATTGGAAGAGTTTGTCTCCAATGACTGGTAGTGAACCCTCTCCCCCTTCTCCCAGAACTTTAGACTTACTAGAGGTAGAATCAATGACCTCTTCTACAAGCTTTATCAGTGACCTTTAACTAATACGGGTAAAATTGTAAACTGTTACTAAGTGACTCATCTTTCCAAATATACCAACTATGAAGCATAGCAATAGCACTTTGACTTATATACCGTTTCACAGTGCTTTCCCAGCCCTCTAAGTGGTTTATATAGTCAGCATATTGCCCCCAACAATCTGGGTCCTCATTTTACCGACCTCGAAAGGATGGAAGGCTGAGTCAACCTTGAACCGCTCAGAATCAAACTTCTAGTGTGAGCAGTGAGTTAGCCTGCAGTACTGCATGCTAACCACTCCGCCACCACGGCTCCTAAAAATCTGTCAAGTTATAAAAAGCCAATTCCTAAATCAGCCATGAACAGTTTTATTTAAAGATGAATACACTCGTCAGGGAGTACACTCTTACCGCACGTATGCAAAGGAAAAAGTTATAGTCCTTACCTTGTAGAAAGAGCACATAGGGACCCAACAGCAACTGCATAGTTTGCTCCTTCCCATTCCACATACTTAAAAGCAACTGGCAGTGGGCTATTTTTATCGAGCAGATAGTAAGGCATCATGAGAGTAAGAGCAGCCGATACCCCAAAATATGCAACAAAGCAGATCAAAAGTGAGGCCACTATGCCTATTGGAATAGCTTTCTGGGGATTTTTTACTTCTTCACCTAAAAAAGGAGATATAACCCAAAGATTACAAAAGGCAGATTTAATTTTCTTTCACCGAAGAAACTGCATTTGACATGTTTTCCCCCAGTGAAAGCAAAAATGAACTATTTCACCAAATTAAAAGTTATCAGTAGCATATTAAATGTACTGTAAGAGCATGCAATTTACAAATCCTTTTAAAGTTATTAGGAATTATTTCCCTGAATTGCCCAATTGTTTCCAATAAGGAAAACCTACAACTATTTATGAAACATGTAACATTTCATTACATTTGTATATCATGCTAAAAGGTAAAGTATTTGCCTAGGTAAATAACTTACATGTTTGAGAATCAAGCTGTACAGTTTGATTTAACATCTTAATTTGTAGTTTAAAATTATGCAATGCAATATAAAACTTCAGGATTCCTTCTATTGCTGTTGTCTAAATACTAAGAATATATTACTATAACTTCATTTCTGAGCTTAATTATAAGATAATGAAACTAAGAGTAAGAAGTAATGATATCCAAAACTGGCATAAAGAAGTGATCTACTGTTTACATTTTACAGTGTTGATTTATTTCAGAGTAGAAGTGTACAGTGTCACACTGTATGGTATAATTAAACATTCAATCAAATATAGCTGAAAGTAATATTCTGATGCAAGTTCATGTTCCAGAAGCACCTTCTACTGTTTATGTCTTAAAACACAGAATCCCTTCTCCAAGAATCTAATTAGATTCTAATCTGTATGTAAATATAATATATTTCATGCTGAAAAGAAGAAGCACCATTCGTGCAGAGCTGCAGGAACTATTTTAAGAGATGAATCTGCAGCAGAATGGAAAAGATGGCTCAGAGTCTCCTAGTGAGTGGTACACAATGAAGAATAGAAATTATTATTTTTCAAAAGAAGTTTGTTTATTTATTTTTTGTTACCTTACCTGTGGTGGCAATGCAGTCGAATCCCACAAATGCATAAAAGCACGTAGCTGCCCCCGAAAGAACTCCAGAAAAACCAAATGGCATAAATCCACCAACACCACCCCGTAGACTCTCTGTGGAACTAGAAGAAGCAGCAAGAAATCACAAATGATTCTGATTACCCAATTCCAAGAGCATCTTGCAACTATGAAAATCCAACAGGGCAAATTCACTTTACCAAGATATAGAATACAGCTGACTCATCAATACTAAATGGCTACTATATTATTAATTTATGTGGAACAGCCTCCCCGGACTCATTCGCAGTGCCATTAAACAACTGCATGAATAAATGGACCTCTAGCATTGAGCATATTAATATCAATCTGTAATAATCCAAGAATATATTAAAACACTCATCAAATTCAATAAGACCTTTTTTGTGCACTGTAAATATGAACAGGACTGGACAGGATGAGTCATTTTTTTTTCTTCATTTTTAAAGTTTGGTTTCAAAGCTATTTTCAGATTTTGGAACAAGTTGAATGACCATTTTTTAAAAATTAATCATTTTAATTAAATAACAATAAGATTACCTGCATATGCTGTCATTAGCTTCTGGGTCCATAGAGGAGGGGAGGGGAGGTTCAGTTTAGTTTAGATGCAGAGTTATCTAGTTCAATTTAAAATTCATACAGAAGTTCACTAAAATCTTAATTGTCTTAGCTTGTGTTTTTAATCTATATAAAATGTACTAAGGAGTTTAGCCAGGCAATTCTTCTACGGTTGTGCCCAAAGAACAGTACAAACTTGCTGGTCCATTTGGTTCCAAGGTTTTATTATTTCTCTTTTTAAATTTCTTTTTACTGTTTCCAAGTAGAGTCAAGGTTTTATTATACAAAAAGTCTAGCATTATATAAAGTGTCTTAGGTCCATGCAAATTGTTCTCTCCTGCAAAAACAACAAGGTCTTGGAGCACTTTCAAGATTAGGTTGATTAAAGGGGCAAAAATAATTGCTACCTTCTAGACATTCTCTCCTTTTGGGAGTCAATCAACATATTCCAATTCTTAGGAACAAGAGGATAAGGCAAGGATGAAAATGGACATGGCCAAAGAAGAAAGTAGGCATAACTAGAATGCATTTCTCAAGTTATGTGTCCTTTTTTCTCTAACTTGATTCCTCCCATTGCCTTTTTTTCCTTAACAGGTCTTAAATCTGCCAATTATAATTTACTTGCTAAATATTGGCAACATCTTAAGGACTTAAGGGAAAGAGGCAATGTACCCATGGCACAGAGAATTATAGCTTTTCTCTTAGATCAACCACAAAAGGAGGCAGCCTTCCTGGCTGTCAAAATTTCAGTATATTAAACCAGGACTAACAAAAGGCCCTCTGTTTGGTGAAAAACTCTCACTGTTGCTTGGGAGGTAATAGGGGAGGAACTCAATGTTGCAAAGCAGCAGTGACATTTCAAATATTTCATTCTTCTTAGTACAGAAGCTTCTTTCTATGGCGGAAGTTTTTGCAAGATGAACAGAGCATGACTTTTCGTCTGCTGGTCACAAACTCTGCAAGATCTACATAACATGAAGTGAAAAAATGGGCATCCCCACACTGTAGCCTTTGATTTTATGTGTAATTTGAACATACACAGGAAGTCTGTGAATAACCACAATTTTACTAATTCATATATGGGGCTGCCTCTACAAACAGTATTAATTTTAGATGGAATGGTGAAAGTTGGGTAAGGCTGTCCACTCAGGAGCAGCTGCTATTTCTTATCTTATTTGCAACAGAAACACTACTCCTGTAAATAAAAGGATGCCTTCAGGTATACAATTACTTTCTATCTATAGCAACAGAATCTAATTGTAAAAGTTCCCTTTGCACATATGTGCTAGTCATTCCTGACTCTAGGGGGCAGTGCTCATCTCCGTTTCAAACCCAAAGAGCCAGCGCTGTTCAAAGATGTCTCCATGGTCATGTAGTCAGGATGACTAAATGCCAAATGTGCATGGAACGCTGTTACTTTCCCACCAAATGTGGTTCCTATTTTTCTACTTGCATTTTTACATGCTTTCGAACTGCTAGGTTGGCAGAAGCTGGGACAAGTAGCGAGAGCTCACTCTGTTATGCGGCACTAGAGATTCGAACCGCCGAACTGTCAAACTTTCTGACAGACAAGCTTAGCATCTTAGCCACTGAGCCACCATGTCCCACTTTTCTATCTATAGCAACAGAATATAGTGAAAACTTATTGCAACTATCTGAGCTTTGAACCACTTATGATTCAAAGAGCCCCATATGAAGAAACTATCAGCAGCCTGGCAGCCATGAGACTGATTTTTGTTAATTGAACTATCTGTGTATTATTGAGTTTTAGTCTCCATCAACTACCTGATGTGCCCACTTCTCTTATTTTCATACCCGATACACAGACAGTGTGTGCTAAATAAAAGCCACGAATGCACATATTATTTTAGATATGTCTATATAAAAAATAAGAACCAACATACTTCTCTGAAAGTGAGCTATTTTCTGAGAGCTGCCAATTTTTTATTGAGCCTTTCACGAAACCTGACACCATCACAAAGCCCAAGACGAGGACATTGATACAAGTGAACACTTTGTTAACCATTGCAGATTCTTTCACGCCAAAAGTCAGAAGTCCTAAAAAGAAATTACAGTGAATAACTGTATTATAGCTATTTAATAAGCACCAAGAAGAAATATATATATTCTTGGAAAGAAATGCTTCAACATTTCCCAATTTATTCTTGGAAAGGCTTTTGCCAACATATTTCTCAGCTGCTAGTTTCTCATATAATTTTTTTGAAACAGAGGCAAGGAAAGGAAATTCTCCAAAACTTTCATTCAGATTACAGACAATAATACCCAGTAAATGCCACAGATAAGGCCCCTTTCCTACTAATTTTATGTTTTGGATTATGCATATCCAAAATATTTTCATAACAACAAAGCTACTGTTTCGCTGTGTTGTGAATCTAGCCACGGACGAACTTTGTAATGACTTAAAAATTTCCAGTGCCAATTATTTCAGTCACTTGATTTAATATTTATAAAGTGCACCTTTTACATGATCAGAATATCAATACATGGTCCTGGTCCAAACTATCAGTCTATGAAATTGTATTCAGGGATATTTTTTTAAGAAGCAAACATAAATTTTAAGAAGGTGCCTAGACATGTTCTGGTCAGTCATGGAAATCTCCATTGCTAGCTTTTGTTGAGTGATGTCTCAAACAGGAATGAGACTCAACAAGCTTTCAAGTTGTTTTTACAAAGGAATGTAACAGATATGGGGAGAAAGAATTAGGGGAAAAAACCCTTTCAGATCTGAAAGAAGATTTGGCAACTGCAGAAATAAGACAGCACAACTTTCTCATTGGTTTTCAGAAAACAGAGCCTTATGCTATATGGCCAGAGTTGCCAAGCAACTGGAGCGTATCTTGCCTGACATCTGAGAAGCACATAATCAGAAAATGTGTACTGAGCATTTACGTGGGAACCTTTGAGGTAAACACGAAAAGTAAACCTGGATTTTAAATCTAATTCCCTTCAACATTGTGAATAACATATATGTTTTGTTTCTTAAGTCACAAGTGAAAAAAAAGGGAAGTTTCAAAGCCCATTAAAGGTAATCTTTAATCACAGGTTTTATTACAAGAAAAAAGCACAGCTAGAATGTTTCAATAAACAGGTAGTAATGCCTGCAGGAACCACCCCTGCTTTACACGCCACAGTTCAGCCCTTTTGGGAGCCTTTTATCTGCCCTTTTCCAACCTTTTTTCTACCCATTTTTTAGGCTTTTTTGGTCCGTTTTTGAGGCTTTTTTCAGCCCATATTTGAGGGGTTTTTGGCCCGTTTTTTAGGGGTTTTTTTGGCCTGTTTCTGTTTTCATCCCATTTTTGAGGCTTTGGGGGGCTGCTTTCGAGGCTTTTTGGGGCTATTTTTGAGGCTTTTAGGGGCTGTTTTTGAGGCTTTTTCGGGCAGTTTTTGAGGCTTTTTTCAGGTTATTTTTTTTCAAAAAAAGGGTCAAAAAAGCCTCAAAAATGACCCAAAAAAGCCTCAAAAATGGCCCCAAAAGCCTCAAAAACGAGTTGAAAAAAGCCCCAAAAATAAGCCAAAAAAAGGGCCTGAAAATGGACCAAAAAAGGCTTGGAAAAGGCTGAAAAAAGGCCCAAAAACTAGGCCTGCAGAGGCCAAAAAAGTGGCCAGCGGGTGGGCGGGGCTTCCTCAATATTCAGTCGATAAGACGCATAGACATTTTCACACCCTTTTGGGAGATAAAGAGGTGTGTCTTATAGTCCGAAAAATACAGTAAGTCTCTTCATTTTCTCTGCAAAATAAGATTTCAAAAGCACCACAAAATGCTCATCCCAAATAATATTTATTTACTTCTCTCACCTGTTAGGATTAGGATAATGACAACAGAAAAGACATCTGGGTATTTTGCTAACACACCAGGAGCATCCATAGACATGTAGCGGGAAAAGAATTTCTCAATATGCTCTCCTATAAGCTTATCAAATGTTGCACTCCAAGCTCGGGCTACACTTGAGGTTCCTGCATGACAATAAAAATAAAAGCTACCTCTTTATAACATTTTATCCATTAACATACACATGGCACTAGTTCATCTGGAGTGAACAAGGTTATGCAAAAAAAAAATGCCAAGGAACATATAAAACATGTGAAAATACATATAGAAGAGAGGACCAGTTTGAAATTGGAATCTCATTATAAAGGGGTAGATATCCCAAACAGACGAATACAATTTCACATTTCATTTTTTTAAAAAATTTATTCTGAAGGTGCTGTGTTTTTGTTGTACAACCAAACCAACAAGCCATGCTTTGGCTTCTGACATGCCCTTAATAGCACCAAGCAGAATTGCGCAACTGCTGTTGAAGAGTTTTGTTAACAAGTTCACTTAATCTTCTAGAGGTTTCAAAATCAGGTTGAACAAGAATGCAAGGCAATTCAACTATCTTCCTCTAAAATGTGTGTTACTCCCCAGTTCCTGGCCTGTGTCGTACGAACAGGAGTTATTCACTCAAATTCACAGAACTGCTGTATGCAAGAGTTCAGAAGTGACAACGAGGGAGTTGTTCCCTGTTGGGCATTTTAGAGGCCAGTGGTTCTTCAGATTTTTGCAACTGAACATTTAAATCACAGAGATATCACCAAAATCTTGGCAAGTCATAATGCTCTTTCCAAAACAAGGTGATCAATTCTGTATTACCCTATACTACCCATTTCTTTTTTTACAAATATTTGGGTATCTAATTGTTTTTTTAGTTTTTCCATTTTTACTGAATATCTGCCAATACAAATGCAATTACTACCTCTAGTTTTCACCATGTATGTATAACTGATTGAATGACCTTGTTCTTTGATATATTACTGTTATTTATTATTATTTAATAAATGTTTTGGCTCCCATCACAGCCTGGGGTGACTGAACTCAATCTCAAACTTTAGTCAAATCTGTACAAAATCATTGAAATCCCATCATTTATTGTGTGATGGGTAAAACTCAGAATTTTAGTCAAAATGAAAATAAGTTATTTCCTGGTTTAAGGAAGAAAACAATGTGGTCCAGCAAGTTCAATTGCACTTTGAATAAAGGCCAAGGGTGGTAATTTACAAGCCAAGTCTAAAGAGGCAATGGTAACTGGTGACAATTGGAGCGAAGATTTACTCTACATCTGAAGGGTACAAGACTGGGGAAGGACTCTACAGTGCAAAAGTCATGCTCTCTAAGCTGATACCCTTTGAAAGCATTGGACCTCAAGAGGAATTCTCAATAAATGATTTTGTACTTATATCACTCAGCCTAACAGAGTGATTTTTTTTTCTGGGAAGCAATATAAAAAGATTCACGGGGGCCATGTTCTGATCAACAAGATCAGGGGAATTCTATAAATGCATACAAAGCAAGGAAATTCTTTATGCGAACACCAAGTAGTTGTAAATAAATACAGAGCTTTTGAAGTTCAACCTACATTCCCTTCCAAACCCTTCCTATTCAACAACTCCTACTTATTTTGGAACAAATTCCATCTTTAAACAAATTCATGCTGTGCTTCTCCCAAGAATTTTCTTTTATCACAGAAAAACACGAACCACTATTTCTTTACCCTTCTACAAAAAAATTATTAAATACTTGCTACAGGAACTGCCTGTTGAAAAATTATTCTACAAAATGTGAATTCCACCAAAGATAAATATTGTCCAGCTATTATTTCACAGAAAGCCAATAAAAATTGTTTTAAGTAGTTTTCATCCGCAGTTAGTTGCTAAAATGAATTATGTATTATTAATGTGTGTGTTTTTTTAAAGTTATAAACTAAGCAAAAAACATAAACCATACAGTACATTTCCTTAAGGGCACTACTGTCAGGTTCCGAAGGGTTAATGAAACCAGCCAAACAGAGAAACGTGTTGGACATTACTTTTTAATTTAAAAAAAAACAATTTGCCAACTTCCAACAAAATGTTTCTGAATATTATTATCTTTAATGCTTCTTACATGCAAGAGCTCTTAATCCCCTATTAATTTAATTAATTCTACATTTTAATTAATTTTATTATCCCTTCACCAATTCTTACACTTAAAATATTATGATGTAACTTTATCATCTGGCTGAAACAATTACCTCCTGAATCATTATTCAAGAATTGTATGTGCCTTTTGCTTGAATATGTACCATATCACTTTTGCTCAAGTCATGATCAAATCATCTTCCAATTCAGAGCCCACGAAACCTATATTTGTCCCAAATTTTAATCAGAGGCTCGGGCACAGATCTGAAAAAAGTTTATAGATCTCATAAGAGTTCACATAGGACTTCCAATAGTCTCATGGAATTTCAGTAATTAGAAACTCAAAGGCCTCTTGGGGCCAGATTGGCATTATGTTTCCATCTGTAATTTAATTAATTAGTTTGCCATTTCATACACATAAAGAAACCAGAGTTATCAGAAACTGGAGTTACTAGAAGCCACACAATGCTTTAGTTGTTTGTTTTTATTTATTACATGTAATTGTTGTTACCAACCTAGTAGATCTCTTGCTAACATGGCAAGTTATTACATGTAATATGAGATTCTGCATTTAATTGTGTGTTAAAAAGAGAAGAGTATTGAACTACACATAGCACATGGTCTGATTTCCGACTCTATATCTAAATTGTGTTTCTTTTCTTTTTTGATACACTTTTGCAATTGACAAAAAAAAGGAAAACACAAAATAAATTTGCAATGTTCTCCTATGATCAGTCTTAAAAGAAGGCTCAGTTTTGCTTTTGTGCAAGTCAAGCTGCACACGTTTGCACTGGCCCACCGCTCACACACCCAATTTCCCTCTCCCCCCATCCCACAGCCAGGCCACCAAGCCGCAAAACTTGGGGACCGCCAGTCTAGTTGTAATTTTCCCTTCAAACATTTGTTTGTGGTCAAAAGGATTCTTAACATTCATCAGCATGTCAGATTAAATCCTAATGCATAGCACTCTATCATACGCATCGGGACAGATTTCTCATGTTTATCATACAATCAAAACACTTATTCAAAGGAAGATGTCCCTAAGTGCTGATTGCTAATATTTACTAGAAGGAAAGTAGAAGGTCATTACACAAAAAAATCAGCAAGAATTCCACTTTCAAATTAGATAATTATATATAGACACTCCAAGATAGCAAATATCTGTTCCTTTGCTTCCTTTTTTGATCCAGAAGTGAAGTTTATGTCTTTTGAAAAGCCAGGGCCTGAATCTCCCCACTGTTTCAGTATAAGAAATAGCCTTGACATGCATTTTTTCTTTTGATTAATAGTTCTTGTGAACTATCCCAGGAATCAATTATTTTCAGCCACATTTTTGTAAGTATTAGAAAAAAAGGCAAAGGTTTGCCTGTCAGACATGTCCGACTTAGGGCAGAGTGGTCCTGTCCATTTCTTGGCCGAGGAAGCCAGCACTGTCCATAGACCATTTCCGTAGTCATGTGGCCAATATCGCTATACCCAAAGGCATACGGAACGCTGTTATCTTCTCACAAAAGTGGTACTTATTAATCTATTCGCACTTGCAGGCTTTTGAACTGCTAGATGGGCAGGAGCTGAGGCAAGTAATGGGAGTTCACCCTGTTGCATGGATCTCTTCCTAAAATTGCTCCCTTTAAATATGGCAAATCAACACATTTTAGGTACTTCTAAAATGATGCCCCAAATAAGATCATATTGTAATAATAATGAACATACTTTTTTTAATATCCACAACTCACCCCTTGAGAAGGCCCACATATTTTGGTTCCATTTCTTTTAGTTACACCACTCTGTTCCCACCTTCAGAGGCTAAAACATTAAAGGAACCATTCCTTTCAAAGTACTGCTCTTATTAGCCAGTATTCTCTACTCAAATAATATGCTTTTGGGATGATCATATTAAGCTATTCTAAAGTTTTAAAGGAAGCTATTATTATGTCAGAGTACAACGCAATATTTCACAAGTCTAAATCTATTCTTAATTGAATGGACCAATGATACAAAGAATACCCACCAATGACGTAAGAAAGAATTAGGTTCCAGCCAGTAATGAATGCCAACAGCTCACCGACAGTCACATAACTATAGAGATATGCTGATCCAGTCTTTGGAACTCTAGCACCAAATTCTGCGTAGCAAAGTCCAGCCAGCACAGAAGCCAGAGCGGCAATCAGAAAGGAAATGACAATGGCAGGTCCTGAATTTTCTTTTGCCACTGCTCCAGCCAGAATATAAACCCCTGCCCCAAGGGTGCTACCTACTCCAAGAGCAATCAAGTCAAATGTGTTGAGGCACCGCGAAAGCCGGCTGTCGTTGCTGGAACAGTCTACCACTTTCCGACGAAACAATTGCTGCCCAAAATGGATAACTTTCTGGCAAGGCATCTTCTCGACTGAACCTGTATAATAAGAAAATATATCTGAATCAGTATCATTGGGCAGGGAAAAATGAGCTACTTCTGCAAACAGTTCTGTTACATGGTAGGAACTCCCCTAACACAGCACCCTCCCTTGGACCACCTTTATTTTAAGGGATAAGAAAATAGTCAATTACTTCCTGCCAGTTTCTGAATTTAGGAGTACAAACCTATAAGTTTCTACTCAGAGCTCATTTCACTTGACTTTAGCTAAGTAAGAGTTTGCGATGGAAGTACTATTTTACAAAGTAAAAAACTGAAATGAAAGAGACTGAAATATTTCACTTCTTCATTATAAATATGAAACAATTTGTTATATATTTATTTTCATGAATACATCTATGAGCAGTAATATTTTGCTTTCCTTTAAAGTGGTTCTTTTTCCAAGCAATTGCCAACCTGAAATCTGAGTATTTCAGCACCACTCCATTCTCAATTTTTAGTCTCTTGTCTTCAAGTAGATAGTCCCTGGTTTGGGGTAAACAACACCTGATCTTCCACTTTTAAAAGTGCAAACATATACCGTATTTTTCGGAGCAGCCCGTTCAGTGTGGCCTGTTTGCTGCCACTTCCCATTCACCACCACTGCAGCCCATTTGGCGCAGTCCATTTGCCACCGGCATGGCTAGTTCGGTGTAGCCCATTTGCTGATGCCCATTCGCTGCTGCCCATTCACTGCCCATTTTGCATGGCCCGTTCACCACGGCCACAACCAATTCGCCAACACTGCCATGGCCCATTCTAGAACAGCTGATCGACCCTGCACCAACCCCACTCCCCACCACCACCACAATATCCACTATATAAGACCAAGATTTTCACCCATTTTGGGGGGAAGTGCGCCTTATACTTCAAAAAATATGGATAAATCAATCAAAAGAATTTTGAAAGACTGAGTGGAAAAAACAAATGGGAATATTACCGGTCATGTACATATTTTACTGCATAATTCATAATTTTCACATTCTGTTTCCTTGCTTTCAAAGAGCAATGGCACTATTAATATGGTGATTCAATTATCTGCCTAGCCTTTTGATCCTCAAGCAAGCTGAACAAAAAGATGTTTAGTATGGAAGCATATGTGTGTTTAATTAATAATTTAGTCCTTGTTCCAATAACCTTTAAAATAGGCATAAATAGTACTATAGGGAAGATAAGCCTAGACTTTCAATTTGTGGATTATGAGCTCAATATTGCTACATCTGGAACAATAAAAATAAACCGTAACTTTTCAGCTTTTATTTTAGCAACAGAAGACAAAGGAGAAGACGGAAGTTTGTCCTTCTGCAAAGGCCAATGTTTGTGTGATAAGAATTCCCCAACTCATAAAAAGAAAAGAAAAAGAAAACTACTTCGCTTCTTCTTCTGAGTTTCCCAAATTCTCAGAATTTCAAGAAGGAAGTAGGTGAGGAAAAGCAAAATCCTTTGAAGTTTCTCTAAGAAATAGGTTCTTTTGAAATGCTTCTTATTTAAATAAGCTGTTCCTATGTTAGGAAACATAGGAAATAGTAGAGCAGGTTTTTTTCATTATTCAAAGCATATATCCCATGCCAATTTATTAAAGCCCAAAGCACTTCCTGTAGGCTCCTTCACTTCCTCCCAATACTAGGACTCAGCCCTAGTCTTAGCAAGTAGCATGGTTTCTTTCCCCATACATCCTTGGAAGTCCTAGATCGGCTGAAAAGGATACTATTAGACCTGGGCAGCAGCATTAATCTTATAGCCAGAATAGGTGGGAATAAACCTGAGTAAAACAACTGTTCCACTCAATAAATCATGGTTATCATTCACCATGGCTCCTATAGCATTGGAGGCAGAAAATAATTATTAAAGGTATGACCCTTAGCCAAATATCTTATTATGTAATCAGCATATAATTCTAAATTTTAAAAAGAGAGAGGGTAGATTCAGGAAATTATAAGCCAGTTGATTTCACATCCAATCTGAGTAATATGGAGGGAAGAAAAGTAGAAAACTGTATGCACAGTATGTATGTAAACAAGCATGAAAACAAGAATGATTTGATATGTGCTAGTAGCTGAATGTCTCCAACAAAGCTCCTTATTCAGGTTTTCAGGGCAAATATAGAAGCAATGTCATAAGAGGACAAGTCATCTCACGGATTTGTGATCATCAGGACAAGTCATCTCACGGATTTGTGATCATCAAAGAACAGGAAGCAGAGATTAGTAATACAGTTTTCACAAAGTAGGGTTGTATAAAAGGGGTATCACATGGATCAGTCATTTAAGCTCATTTATAAACATCCTTGGAATAAGAGATGAGCAACGAGGTGGCAAGTTTGCTGATTATTTCAAATTGTTCCAGTTGATCAGATCAAAAAAGGGTCTGTGGAGAGATCCAAAATGAAAGGGGTGAATGGGCCTTAAAATAGCAAAGGCAATCCAGGGTAAGCTTTGGCTTGAAGTGCAAGCTCATGTATTCTTTAGCAGAAGTGGAATCACTGGCCAGGAAAGCAATCTTGAAGAGACCTAATGAAAGCATATCAGTGAAAATGTCAGTCTGCTGTGCAGTGGCTATAAAAAAGGGAAATTCTATGCTGGGAATTATTTGGAAGAAAATAGAAAGCAAAAATTGACAGAAGTAAAATTGCAATGTAAATATGCATGGCATTATTTGTATATGTATTATTACAGAAACTAGAAAAGAACAATCAAAATGATTAGGGGATAGCCAGAACTATTCTCTAGCAAGGAAATACTGCAGGCAAATTTGAATAGAATTGTATCAGTAAAATTTATTTTAAAAAAAAAGCATTATGAAAGTGATACATTATTTTATAGTTTAAGGTTATTTTTTAATCTTTCCTGATGTTATTGCTGTTTTTACATAGATGGTTTCAACTATGCAAGATGCATGAAAGCTGTAACAAAAATTAGGTCTCTCTCCCATATGTTGTTTGGTTAAAACCACCTGAATATTAATTCTCTGTAGACCATACACAGAAATCATTCTTCCACTGTTCTATTTTCAGATCTTCTGAAGTATATCTAAAACCATCAAAAGCCTTTCCCAAAAATAAAACACTATCAGGACACTTATGGCAACTTTTGTTTTCCTTTCTCTAACAGGTTTCTCTCTTCACCTACCTCACAACAGTTTTAGTTGTTAGTTTTAACAAGCTTTCAGTTTTGAGATAACGTGTTTTCTTCCAAAGCTCTTTTATTAATGAAGAACATGCAACAAACCACTCATATTGCATCATTGCTTAACCACAGTGGCTTCCTTCTGCAATACTATCAGAAACAATTTAGTTCCTGTATTTTAATACAACTACTACAAGCAACAATATAAGATTTCAAGTTTGTTGATCAAACACATTTACTATGATAACATCACCTATATATAGATTTACCTTTAATCTGCAGTTACTTAATAAATGCAAGAAAGGAATTTCTTTTGTAGTTGTTAAACTATACTTCTGGTTCCACCCATTTTAACAATAGTTCAACAGTATGCTTCATGACTAAAAAAAAATGAAAAGCAACTTGCACCTGATCATCTTTAATTTAAAAAAATAAAACAAGGGGCAATAATTTTTTTCACAAAACGTTAAATAATACCTACATGTGCATTAACAAGCACATTTACATTCTGTAAAAGTTGTATGCATACTGTCATATTTACAAATTTAGATAAAACAGTATAACTTTGAAAAGATTGAAACATTGTACATTAACATCTGTACCCTTTAAATAAATAAATAATGATTTTCCAGTGAAGATCAGATTTTTAAAAGCTGATCTTTGAAAGATCACTATAGTATTTTAGCCAAAAAAAAAAAACCAAGCAAAAATAAAAAGCAAAATTAATTTGCATACAAGTAAATAGATAAAATGTTTATTGAAAGCTCCCATTAGTTCAGAATTAATATATGCTCATCTTTGCCTATGCTGCTCTATTGCTCAAGAACTGTAGGAGATGCTTCAGATGAATGAGGTATCTTACCCAGCATGCTGACCAAAACAATCAAGCACAGAATCTATGTGCCAATAATAGCAATTATGAGTAGGAATTCATAAAGAACAGAGAAGTACATGCTTCCCGGAAGATAAATTTGGCTAGTATCACCAACGCTGACCAGACACAATTCTATCTCATTTCATAAATTTCATTTCCTGGACATGGCAATATAGGCCGGAAGGTAAATTTACTTTGGGTGAACATTCTTAGTTCTTTATCCATTTCAATCTATTTTGGATGAGTTATTCCACTAACCCAGGTGGGTCTTTCAATTATCAGTATCCTGTTCCTTATATTAATGGGACTATTGTCTTTAACTTACATAATTCTATACTTTAAAATACATTTTGGGTTTTTTTTCCTACTCTATTTTATGAGGCAGAGAAAGAGTATAAAGGAATAATAGTCTAAAACCATTAAAACTCTCACTGGTTTAAAAGAAGTGAAAAACTTATGGTAGAAACCCCAAACAAGAACCTAGAGCTCTGAGAGTAAACAGAATTAATAACTTATGTGTGATCCCTGGTCTTTCAGCTGACACCTTTTGAACAAAGTGTACTTTTAATAACACCCCTACCACATTCAGTGTCCAAAGCAACTTATGTGTAGTCCCTGGTCTTTCAGCTGACACCTTTTGAACAAAGTGTACTTTTAATAACACCCCTACCACATTCAGTGTCCAAAGCAGCATATATAAAGTAAATAAACCAAAATTGAGAGGCTGAATAAGGTTGTTGTTTCTATAGCAGAGGTGGTTTCACTTTCTGTGTACAATGCAGGATAGTAAGGCATAATTTGTAGAGTTGGATTTAAAAACTCTGAAATAGTAGAAAGACTAAAATGGAACTTTTTAGATTTCTTTTTAGCACAAAAGCTTCCTCTACAATATTGGTATAGTAAGTATATATGTTTCTGAGTATACTAACATGCTAGAGGACCCCATGGGGTCTCCTATACCTAATAATTTTCATAATCTTTCTTTGTAAAAGACACTTGGG